TTAAAAAGGTTTAGGGTTTAGGGGTTTAGGGCTCTAGAACCTGGAACCTTTGTAGAATCCTTTGAAGCCCTAAAGCCCTAAAGCCCCAAAGCCTATCGCCTCAACCCTAAAAGCCCTTAAGCTCCGAAAAGGGCTTTTAAGTCAAGAGGCTTTCCGTCCGAAAGATCGGCCAGGGCCTCTGCGGTTTCTGGGGCACGGCATGAGCTCGGGCCCCAGAGTGGAGGGTTTAGGGTTTAGGGGGAGAGCTGGTCCAGGGGTTGTAGTTAGTTCACGGGTACTTCTGAAACTTAGGGTTCGTTTTTGGATCACCCCCCAAAAATTTGGCACCCTTATAAAAAGGACTTTCAAAGGGGACCCTACTTTAGAGAACTACTCTCATGGTTGGGACCGAATGAAACATGAGAATGTCTATTCCTTATTGGGTTTAAGTAGCCAAACAGATGTAAACTGTTACCCAACTGTGACAAAGGTCGTGAGTGGCGCGTTTACGTGGTTCTTACGTGTCTGTGTTCCTCACCAGATTACACCTGGCTCTTGTCCGGTTCCTTCCAGGCTTTGGCTATGTTTGCCTACATTGGGGGTCAGGGGGATCGAATAAGCACAGAGACTCTCAGTAGGATTGCAACTACATCACCAATCAGGGTGTTTAGAACTCCACTAAAGGCTAAATCAAACAACAACCCTGAAAACTATCTGATAAGTCTCCTGATCCTCCGAGTGGGCTCGAAGGAACTGATCTAAAGCGCTGCGGCAAGTTCCACAGACGGTTGTCAATGGAACGGAGAACAGGAGAGTCTCGAAGTTTCTTGTGATTGCTGAGGGGTGTTGGGCTTATGCTCAACATGGGTTAAGGGTTTGGGGGGTTAGGGTTTAGGGTTTAGGAGTTTAGGTTTAAAAGTTGAGGGTTTAAAGCATAACGGTTTAAAAGGATTGCTGCATTTTCCGAGTCGTGTGGTGCCATTTTGACCCTTTCAACAATGGTTTCGGCTGGTTGAAACATGCCATTTTGGTGCACATTTCTGGAAAGTTGCTTTTTCGAGTGTATACGCAGGGAGGAGGCGGTTCTTATATAGAGGTTCCGAACTAGGTTTCCGGCCTGTCAAAGACCTATAAGAGTTCAGGAGTTTAGGGCTCAGGGTTTGGAGTTTAGGGTTTAGGACTGCAGGTGGTAGATACGATTGCTAGACTTCGGGTTCTTTGGTACGTGTTTCTCGTACACTGTACATGAAGTCGCATGCACTGCCAGTGTCACATGAACTCGGGACATCCGGCCAGCCACCACCGAGACTCCGAAACAGGATCATAGCTGGGGTTAGGGTTTAGGGTTTAGGGTTTAGGGTTTAGGGTATTAGGGTTTAGGACCCCATCTTGTGAAGCTTGCACAAACCCTTGGATCGAAACCCGAAAAGGCCAGCCGAAAGCCCTACCAATACTTTAAGACTGAGAAGACCCCATAGAAAACCAAAGAGCCTGAGTCTCCTTCAAAGCGGGTTCTCTTTTATCCCTAGACCTAAACCCCTAAACCCTAAACCCTAAACCCAAAATCCCTAAACCTCAACCCCTAAACCCTATACCCTAAACCTGCCCTTTGCAGGCTGTGCGCCAGCAGCCGGTGCCACTCATTGGCCTCCAGAGCCTCTCGCAAGAAGGGCGTACTTTAGGAGAAGGGGCCCTTATGCTTATTTCGAGCAGGGTTTTGAGGGTATATATATATATATAGACATATATTATACTATAACCATATATGGAACCCCGAAAATAGTATTGGGAATTATTGCAGCCCCTACAGTACACCCTTCAAAGCCTTGTTTTGGCTTGCGTCCAAGGCAGGGAGATCATGGTTCTCCGTTGTGGGGTTTAGGGTTTAGGGTTTAGGGTTTAGGGGTTTAGGGTTTAGGGTTTAGGGTTTAGGGTTTAGGGTTTAGGGTTGAGGGTTTAGGGTTTAGGTTTTAGGGGCCATGACTTGGGACATGACTGCGGCTTCGGGTTTAGGGTTTAGTGTATGTAGTACGATGCATGACACGCCGTCATACATGCAACCATGCCTACAGACACGTATACATGTATGCATGCATCCGTCCGTGTGTGTGTGTGTGCAGTGAAAAGGTGGACTTCTCCACCTTGCTATCAAAGAGGAAGCTCAAAGGCGTGGGTCCTTATCATATTTTGCAAGAGACGACTTCGTCGAGGGCCCATGAAAACCGAAGGTTCACCTACTGAGGTATGATGCCCAAGAGGTGAAGAGAAAACATATACGCGACAACCCTCTTCAAACATCTTCTAACCATTACGACCCTTATAACTATAACCCTAAACCCTAAACCCTAAACCCTAAACCCTAAACCCTAAACCCTAAACCCTAAACCCTAAACCCTAAACCCTCTAGGTGACTTGGGCACTTCGGGACTCACAGCCTCCAGCGCAGCCCGGCAATCCTCTCAGGCGCCACGGGCTGAGCTTGGGATTGAGGGATTTAGCATTGGGGGGAAGGCTTAGGCCATATAAGGGCTAGGGTTTTAGGGTTTAGGGTTTAGGGTTTAGGGTTTAGGGTTTAGGGTTTAGGGTTGAGGCCTGAGGGCTAGGGCTTTAGGGTTGAGGGTTAAGGGGTTGAGGGTTTAGGGTTTAGGGTTTAGGGCTTTAGGGTTGAGGGTTAAGGGGTTGAGGGTTTTAGGGTTTAGGGGTTTAGGGTTAAGGGATTTTTTTTAAACGGTCTAGGGTGCAGGGTTGAGGGTTAAGGGGTCTAGGGTTTTTGGTTTGGGGTTTTGGGTCCGGGGGTTTAGGGTTTAGGGTTAAGGGGCCTAGGGCTTAGGGTTTGGGGTTTAGGGTTTAGGCTTAAGGGGTTTAGGGTTTAGGGGCTCAGGGTTTAGGGGTTTAGGGCTTGGGGTTTTGGGGTGAGAGGGTGCAGGTCTTAATGAGGGCTCTCGACTGTCTTGCTCTGCCTTGCTTTCTAGGAACTCTAGGACAGCCCACGATGCCGTTTGCAGGGCCTCATAATCCTAGCCCAGCCCACAATAAGGGGTACTGATGTAGACCACTTGCACAACAGCTTACCAACACTCCGGGAGTTGCTAAGGGGTGTGGCAGGGCATCGAGCGGTGTTCGGACTGAGTTAAATGTATTTCATGTGTGCATTTAAAACTATATAGAAGGATTCTGGTTTCATCATGGGGTAGAAGCGACATCATGAACAAGAGCCGAAACCCTACAACAGCAAGAAACAACTAGCCTGCCAACTACTGGCTGAAACCCCAAGTTTTCGGCCTTCGGCCACTTCGAATCCTCTCAAATCCCTACCCTAAACCCCAAACCCCTAAACCCTAAACCCTAAACCGCTAACTTCTAAACCCTAAAACCCTGAACCCCTAAATCCTAAACCCGAAAGCCTAAAGCCTCCGAAGAGTACGAGCCCCCTCTTTGGCACCGGAGCCCTGCACATGAAACCCGGTCAACTCCGAGCCCAGAATCTTTCGGGCGTTCAGGGTTTAGGGGTTTAGGGGTTGAAGGTTAAGGGTTTAGGGGTTTGGGGGTTTAGGGTTTTTTCAAAGTTGACATACGCCCCTGAGTCAAGTAGGCATTGGCCCTTTCGGCCCTCAGCAGTGAAACTTCCTCAATCCTTTGGCAAAGGACGATACGATCCTCTAGGGCTTCGAGATCTAGCACGAGTGTCCTGTTGAGTATGTGTACTCTGTACATCGAACACCCTTTCATCACTCAGGACAAACATTGCACCAGGCACATCAGCAGACGACGGGTCAGTTGACATCCCACTGCCAACACTCTCGGGGTCCGTATTAACTAGCCCTTCAGAGCCATGACGATGCCAGGAACGACTATCCACCACATCAGATGTACTGGGCAAACTCAGAGATTCCTCCACAACATCCGGCGCAGCATGAGGAGCAACAGGAACATCCCCAGCAGCAACAGGCACAGCAGCAGGAGAACCACTCACACCCTGTTGGACAATAGGGTTTCCCACAGCATGGGTATTGGACAAATTCCCCAACTCCTCTAGCTCGACAGGTACAGCATGAAGAGAAACAGGAACACCCCCAGCAGGTACAGAAACTGCAGAAGGATCACCATGAGGAACTTGAAGCTGGGCAGGAGGAAAAGGCATTTCAACTGCATCACCACAACCATCCTGAAGTTCGGCTGCAGGAACACCCCGAAATCGAAGAGCAGGAACAGGTACACCAGGAGGTTCACCATGATCACTTCGCTGTTGGACCGCGGGAGCATGTACAGCGGCAGGTTCTCCATGAACACCTTGAAGTGGAACAAGGGCAATTCAGGCGTCAACCACGCATCTTCAACCACGCCGTCCAGCACGAGGTGACACGCAGGGTTTAGGGTTTAGGGCTTTCAGGGTTTAGGGTTTAGGGTTTAGGCTTTAGGTTTAGGGGTTCAGGGTTTAGGGGTTTAGGGTTTAGGGTTTAGGGGTTTAGGGGTTTAGGGATTCGGGGTTAGGGTTTGGGGTTTAGGGGTTTAAGGGTTTAGGCCTTAGGGTTTAGGGGTTTAGGGTTTAGGGTTTAGGGTTGAGGCGTTTACGGGTTTAGGAGTTTAGGGGTTTAGGGTTTAGGGGTTTAGGTGTTTAGGGTTTAGGGTTTAGGGCTTTCAGAAGCTATTCAGAGTACTGGAAGAATCTACGACACTATGGTGCTGCTTTATTGCCAAACCCTCGTTCTAATTATAATGCCCCTACCTTACCCCAAAACTGGAGTCTAAGTGTTTACAACCTCCATGCGAACTAGCTCTCCTCTTCCGCGGTGCCCTGACGCAAAGCCGCCGCAGCCGTGCGCATGGAGACACAACCAAGCCACCTGACTGTCTCTCCCAAAAGGCTGTTACGGCGGATAGTTTCCCAAATCATAAAAAGGATTCCTGTTAATTATGGGAGCTTCCGAAAACAAGGGGTACCTTATTTTGGGATCCTTATAATAAGGCTCCTACTATTTAGGGGGCTATATGAGGGTCCCCTATTTTCGGAAACCCCCAAGAAACCCTATACATTCTACCAAAAAAGTCCTTTGGACCCTGTAGGTCTGGGGATGACCACGGATTTACTGCTGCACCCTAAACCCTAAACCCTGAACCCTAAACCCTAAACCCTGAACCCTAAACCCTAAACCCTAAATAGCGTAGCAGTAGGGCCTCCTGATGCTGCAGAATAATTATAGGGGGCCTTAATAATGAGAATGGGGTTCATTTAAACTGATCCTTGAAAGGAGTTACCATAAGGGCTACTATAAGGGTTTGGGGTATAGGGGCCTGGATGATTAGAATAAGGTTTCGAGGTATACTATGCTATAAATAAATATAATAATAAGGAGCCCTAAAATAGTATTGGCAATTATTTAGGCTCCTACATTACTTCTGTGTTGAGAAATGGCGCGATCTCGCACTTGAATGGCGTAATTGCCTGGACTACCTAGTTAGACCTAGTTCAAAAGGTCGGCATCTTGCAAAAGCCACCCTCACTGGCCGTAGCCCTAACACTCCACTGTAAGGCCCCGGCAGCATCATCTCACTTAAGACACGGCTGAATACTTCTCCTGGTATCAGGCCCCTGGCAGCAGGGCAGCTCAGGGGCTATGCTGGGGAACTGCCTTGAAAAGACAAGGACTAGGTAAGGCTCGGGATTTCGACGTGAAGGGCTTTGGGCTCACATTCTTCGCAAATCACGTGGCATCACTCTCTGCGTTCTTCCAGAAGGGGCAATGTGCGGTCCGCAGCTTCGAAGGGAAGTGCAACGATCGGAGACGCATCACATCTAACACCTTCTAATTGTTCAAAACCCTGTAATTCATCAATATGTCGGTTCTCAAAACCTCCGCAGTCCCAAGGGTTGAATCTCGGGTGTAAGGTGAAACATGTATTTTAAGCCACCGGAACAGACCATTCTGCAGAAGCCCTATCAACTTCTACAGGACCCCAGCCTCTAGGAAGGCTTGAAGGCCCTACAAAAGAGGACGCTACTGAAGACTAAGCTACTGAAGGGAAGATTACCGTAGTTGTACCTTGACTCTTATAGAATGCAGCCCGAAAACTCGGCCTTACAGGCGAAAACCACCTTAGCCCTAAACCCTAAACCCTAAACCCAAAACCCCTAAACGCACCTGTAACCATCCGGCCCTCCAGCCACACGGCGGAAGGCCCACTCCTCCTTCGACTGCGGCACCTCCTCCTGGTGGCAGTCTCGGGGCTCCGGGACTTAGTAACTTAGGGTTTACACCCTAAACCCTAAACCCCTAAACCCCAAACCCCCAGACCCCTAAACCCTTTTAGGGCTCAATCGGAGAGTCCAAAACAGACACCCGTCAACTTGTTGCTCTCCCAGATCTCTTTGAATAAAGCCCCCCATCTGCAAGGGACGCAGAAGTTCGGGGTTTAAGGTCTATCGGATCTAAGGTCTATATGGATTAGTTGATGATTGTTAGGGTTTAGGGTTTAGGGTTTAGGGTTTAGGGTCGATCGGAGTTGAGGCCTGACTGGTTTAGCTGAGGATTGATGGTTTAGTTTAGGGTTTGAAATTTCAGGTTGTCAAGAAATTTCAGGTTGTCAACTGGGATTTAAGGTTTAGGGTTTAAGGTATAGGGTTTAAGCTTTAGGGTTTAGGGTTTGCGGTTTAAGGTTTAGGGGTTAGGGCGTAGAATAGGGGAGTCTAGAATCTAGGGCTGCGGGCCGTTAACCTGGAGTGCTCTTCGCCGTTATCCAGGCCGTAAACTCCAAACCTCACCTGGAATCCCGATATGTCCTCCACAACAGCCACCATACCGCAACTGAAGACTGCAGTCACGCCTCAATGCGAGTTATCTCTAGAAGCCCTGCTAAGCCCGAAACTCCCGAAACCTCACCCCAAAACGCAGAAACCACTAAAACCCCAAACCATAAAACTCTAAACACTGAAAGCCTAAACTTCCTAAAACGCCCCAAACCTTAAAACTGTAAACACTGAAAGCCTAAACTTCCTAAAACGCCCTAAACCTTAAAGCTCTAAGCACTCAAAACCTAAACTTCCTAAAACGCCCTAAACCTTAAAACTCCAGGTGCTAAAAGCCTAACCTTCGTAAAGAGGCCCCAAAACCTTTTAGCAACCCTTTGCGGAACCTTCCTAAAACGCCCTAGAAACCCTTATAGCAAGCCTTTAAAGGGATCTATAAAAGTTCCTTCAAGGATCGAATTATACCTATAGTCTCCATTGTAGTTCCTTTTTTGGGGATACCTTATAAAATCCTTAATATATAATTGGTTAAACCAAAAAAAGAACTACAATGGAGACTATAGGTAAGGCTTCCATTAAGGGCTCCTTTAAAGAACCCCCTACTCTGATATCCTAAACCCTAAACCCTAAACCCCGGTTCCATTAAGGGTTCCTTTAAGGAACCCGTTACTCTGATACCCTAAACCCTAAACCCTAAACCAAGGGTTCCTTTAAGGAACCCGTTACTCTGATACCCTAAACCCTAAACCCTAAACCCTAAACCGGGGTTCCATTAAGGGTTCCCTTAAGGAACCCCCTACTCTGATTGCAGAGAACTTCGGTGCTCCTCGCGGTCTCGCGCCGCGCCGAAGGCGTCCTCTGCCAAGGCCTCCGGCAAAGCCTACTTGGAGGCCCAGGGGCCTTTAGTAACTCGGTTTAGGGGTTAGGGTTTAGGGTTTAGGGTTTAGGGTTTAGGGTTTAGGGTTTCGGGTGTAGGGTTTAGGGGTTAGGGTTTAGGGTGTAGGGATAGAACTGGGGTATCTCCATATGGGGTGCGTAGATCAAAAAGCCTCAAACCTTCTGAAACCACTTGCAACCAGAAACTTTACAACACCAAACCCTAGAATCAAGCCTTCTGAAACCGTGTGAACACGCAAGACAAGGCTAGAAAAGCACGTTCAAGCCCCACAACCCTAAACCCCAAACCCTAAAGTCTGCATGCACCCTAAACCCTAAACCCAAAAGTCTGAAGCCTCATCCCAAACCCTAGACTCTAATTCCCCTAAAGTCTAAACCCTATTTCCTAAACCCTAAACCCTAAACCCTGAAACCCAATCCTAGACCCCAAACCCTGTTTCCCAAACCCTGAACCCTAAACGCCAAACCCTGAACCCTAAACCCTAAACCCTAAACCCCTAAACCCTAAACCCTAAACCCTAAACCCCTAAACCCTAAACCCTAAACCCTAAAACTTCCGAAAGGCCCTAACGTCTGAACGCCTCTGCCCCTTGGCTGGTGAAGATTGAGAGCAGCCGCAAGGCCTCTGCCTGGTAGGGTTTAGGGTTTAGGGTTTAGGGTTTAGGGTTTAGGGTTTAGGGTTTAGGGTTTAGGGTTGCGGTTTAGAGTTCAGGGTTTTGGGTTTTGGGTTTTAGGGTTTAGGGTTTGGGATTTGGGATTTGGGTTTGGGGTTTTGGTTTAGGGTCTAGAGTTCAGGGCTTTGGGTTTGGGGTTTTGGGTTTAGGGTTTGGGATTTAGGGTCTAGGGTTTGGGATCTAGGGCTTAGGGTTTAGGCTTTGGGGTTTGGGGTTTGGGATTTAGGATCTAGGGTTTGGGATCTAGGGCTTCGGGTATGGTGTTTGGGGCTTACTCCTTAGGGATGAGTGTTTAGGGTTTAGGTAAAAGTCACATGTTCATCTACCACAACGAAAGGCTGGTGAGTCACTTGGTCTCTGAGGTTCCCACACTGATCATGGGACACTGAAGGCATAGACGAGCTCGTGGTCACAAAACAAAAGCGAAAGCATGCTAGCTGACCTCTCCACGATCTCGCTGCAAGGCAGAGGCACCCAGCCCGTCTCGTCACTGAATATAAAGACGAGCTCGCAATCCGCAGAGCACAAGCAGAACATGTTATCCGTTAATGGAGTTACGGGTCCCTCCAAAGACGAGATCTGCAAAGGTCTGATAAGGCTTCCTGCAGTACTAGGTTCCCCAGCAGCCCCTTAACAATAAGGCCACCCTTTTACTTGCTTTCTGGCTTGAAGACGGGAACTCTAAAAAGGGCTGAAGGGTACTACTGGGGAAGCTAAGCCAATCGGTGCCCTAACGAAAGCTCTTTACAAGCCTCAGGAACCGATTTAGAACTCCTCCTTCAACTTTGAGGGCTTCCAGTCGGGGCTGACCGAGGGTCGGGGTGTCGTTTTGGACTTGATATAAAGCCCTAAACCCCATAAGCCCAAACCCTACACCCTGGGCCCCTAAACCCCAATGCCCTCAACCCCAAGCCCTAAACCCTACAAGCCCNNAAGCCCAAAACCTAGACCCTAAACCCTTAGGCACGCTGCTGACTTGACGGTCGTGCACCATGCAGTCTATGCCCTTTCGGGCTGAAGGCTGGTAAGGGCCCTCACCCCGCAGCCTTGGGGGTCGCGTCGTGTTGAAGCCGCCTGTTGTAGGTTCGATGTTAGCCGGTTAGCCCGGTAGGGGTTTAAAGCTCAACAACCCACCCTGAATCCGAACATAACAAGTCTACAGATCCAAAACCCACCCTGCAATCCGAACATGACCTTCGACTAACCCCTAAACCCTAAAACCCTA